CGGAGCCACAGGCTGTCGGAGCCGGGAAGCAGAGGGGCGCCTGAGCTGTATGAGAAATTGTGGGTGCCCTGGAATGGGCTCGTCGTGATCGGGAAGAGAATAGAGCTCCTGGGTAGAAACACGCAGAAGCGGAGGCTGGGGGACCCGAAGCTGGAGGCCGACTACTGGAGACTGGAGGACGTGGCCAGGACAGCCTTGAGAGAGAAGCCGGGCCTGAACCAGGAGAGGCAGGAAGTGAAGCCCGTGCGCAGCCTGTCCAGTGCCCTGCAGGCTACCGCGGGCTTGGGGAGGGACGGGTCAAAGGAGAAGTGGGAAAGGCCAGAAGTCAGACACAGAACTGGGGCCGAATCCGAGGGTTCAGGGACTTTAGCAGGGCCTAGGAGGGGCTCTAAGACCAAGGAGAAGTTGAGGTTTAGTGAGGAGATAGTGCAATTAAGTGGCGAGCACTTGAGATCCCGAGTATTTACCATAAAGCAAACAGAAGAGATGCTGAGGTCAAATGGGAGGAAGCTGAGTTTCAATGGGGACAATCCGAGTGGAGAGAGTTTGAGGTTGAGTGGAGAGAAACTGAATTTGGTTGAAGACAGGCTGAGGTTGAGCGGAGACAAGCTGAGGTTGAGCGGAGACAAGCTGAGTTCTAGTGAAGACAAGCTGAGTTCGAGTGAAGACAAGCTGAGGTTGAGCAGAGAGAAGCTGAAGTTGAGTGAAGACCAGCTGAGGTTGAGCGGAGAGAAGCTGAGTTCGAGTGAAGACAAGCTGAGGTTGAGCGGAGAGAAGCTGAGTAAGAGTGAAGACAAACTGAGGTTGAGCGGAGAGAAGCTGAGTAAGAGTGAAGACAAGCTGAGTTCGAGTGAAGACAAGCTGAGGTTGAGCAGAGAGAAGCTGAAGTTGAGTGAAGACCAGCTGAGGTTGAGCGGAGAGAAGCTGAGTTCGAGTGAAGACAAGCTGAGGTTGAGCGGAGAGAAGCTGAGTAAGAGTGAAGACAAACTGAGGTTGAGCGGAGAGAAGCTGAGTAAGAGTGAAGACAAGCTGAGGTTGAGTGGAGAGAAGCTGGTGTCCAGTGGGGAGAAACCTCCGGCCAGCAGAGAGATATTGACAGATGGTGTAGAGAGACCAGAGTTGGGTGTAGAGAGAGGGGGGTCACAGGATGCCACAGCAGGGGAGAGGCTGGAGTCAACTAGACAGAGGCAGCTGTCCGTAGGAGAGAGGCGGCTGTCCGGGGGAGAGAGGCGGCTGTCAGGGGGAGAGAGGCGGCTGTCGGGGGGAGAGAGGCAGGCGTCTAAGGGGTTTAGGAGAGAGAGACGCGGATCCTTGGCAGAAAAGATGCTCTTTAAGGGAGACAGGCGAGGATCCAAGGTAGAGAAGCTGGGGCTTAGGGGAGAGAAGCGAGGATCCAGGGAGGAGAAGAGAGGCACCAGTGAAGAGAGAAGGCACTCAAGAATAGGGAGCATAGATGAAGAGCAAGTAGAAAGAGTGGTGAAGTTTACTGGTGATGAGAATTTCGTAGATACTAATGATACTGAGATGGAAATTCTGTCTGAAAGGATCGAGGAGAAGGATGAACTTGAAGGCATGGCAGATACAGTGAAAGTTAAGGAGGGGTCGGAAGTTAAGGAAGAGGTGGGAGCTGAGGAAGGGGCGGAAGTTATGGAAGAAGGGGTGGGAAATGAGGGGGCGGAAGTTGAGGGCATCTTGCCTGGCGGGAAGGACGTGATGGATGACTCTGTCTCTATGGAGGAGAGAGAGGTTATAAATGAAGAGCCTGGTGATTGAAGCAGATAAAGGACTAAAGTTAAAGAAGGAAAGAGAAGCAGATAGGGGAAGTATCACAGGTCCAAGAGGAGAAATTAGAGCCAAACAGAACATTATTGATCCTGAAGGGGCAGAGAGGAAGAGTGTCTGCATCAAAGAAGTGGGGCTGAGGATGGAGAACCCCGGGGGATAAAAGTGGACCCAAGTGAAGAGCATGACAAGAGTGAAATGGGAACCCCTGGAGGACAAAAGCAAGATTGATAATGTGTTGCTAAGCAGAGGAAAATTGGATATTGGTTACTTGGAGAAGAGCTGTGACTGTGGCCCCTGTGGGGGGATGTGCGAGAAATGCATTTAGAGTGGGCTAGAAGGACCCAGTTTGACACGGCACCAAGGACACGAGATGTAGGAGAACGCAGTGGGGAAAGGGGAGACCACAGCAAGAAAAAGGACAGACAGTGCGAGCTGTGAGAGAACACGCAGGCTGAAGAGCCCTGAAGCGCGGGGCACTCCAAGGCGATAGAAGCAAGAGAGACGGGAGGAAAAAAGTAAGAAGCCAAAGCCTGTAGTAGGATTGCCGTTTGCTGGGTTTTTACTTTTCTGCAATATTCCCATGTCCTCCAATCCCATGCAACCAGTTTTGCATGCCTTCACGGGACAGGCTACTCTGAGGGCCCTGTGTATCTGGGCCAGGGTCCAGTCTATTGGTCTTGCCTCTAACTAACCCCCAAATTGTATCCAGAGTAACTGCTGGCCTCCATGATTTGAGTAACCACCGTCACCACCATTTCCCCCACTCCCTTCACATCCACGGCAAATCCGCAGTGCTCACAACTGACTTGAAGTTACGATGATTTGTGACTTTTCATCACTTCTTTGTGTCTTGTCTCCCCTGGAGATATCTCCTGTGTCTTCCAAATCCCCCTCACTGTCCACCTTCATGCCAGGGGAGAGAGAAGGACCGCCTGAGTGCTTCCTACTAAGACATCAATGTCAAGACTTAGTTTTAGATCCTGTTGGCCAGGACGGAAGAGGTGGCAATGAGCAGGGCAAAGGGAACACAGCCCTGCGTTGCTGTCTCTTTTCGGTGTATGCAAATGCCCAAGGGTAGGAACTTCATCATATCATAGACTGACACAAGTATTGGAGCACACACTTACAGTAGCTTGGATCTTTTTTTAAATATTTATTTATTTATACATATAAGAACTGGGGTACAGGCCAGAGATGTGGGGGCTGAGAAGATTCACCAGAGACACAGTAGGGAGCAGAACAGGCGGATATGCTGAAATACACTGCTGAGGGGGGCAGCCCCCAGCTGGCAATCGAGCTCACGCTGTAGTGGCTATGGACAGCCTCACAGCACTGCACTTTAACCCACTGTGCCATCAGGGAGGGCCTGGTAGCCTGGATTTTTAAGTGACATTTTCTCCATACCATTTGCTAATTCCCCCCTCCCCCCCCCCCCAAGATCCAAAGGCTCAGAGAACCGCTTGGCTTACTTAAGTTGGCAGGCCAGACCTAACACATCAATCCCATTCCTCCTGGGGTTTTCTTTCTTGAGTTTTCCGCCCTCCGGGGCTGAGAAGAGTGGCTGTGTCCTCCCGCCAGAGGCCTGGCCTGGGTGGCATCTTCGACAGTCTCCTCTTTCTTATTTTACAGCTTCCTTTAGGCCAAACGCACCATCTAATGACTTCTAGAAAGTGATCATGGAGGCCACCTCTGAGACACCGCATCTGTTTGCAAACAGGTTTTCCTCTCATATTTGACTGGTAGTTTCCCTGGGTTTGTAGCTTGGGCGGTTATCCCTCCCAGAACCTTAAAGTGTGGCCCACACCTGCTCACTGCCAAGCGTTGCTGTTGAGTCCAGTGTTGTTCTTTGGTTTTTCATCCCATGGACATGTGACCTGCTTTTCTTCTAGTACAAATTACCGGTTTTCTACCACAAAGTGCTCAGCCTGTACCCTCTTCTGTATTCTCGGAGAATAGCCTGGGTTTCTCTCTGGAGGACACTTTGCTGCTTTGTGAATTTTCCTGTGTGAAGCAGTAACACAATGAGCAAATAAATTGTAGCCCTGTTCTGCTCCTACAATGACCTCACACTGCACCAAGTCACTTCTAGAAAGGTGCTGAAAGAAGAAGGCCCCCAGCCGCACACGGTGTCTCGCTCCCCATGGCAGGCGCAAAAGCAGCCTCAGTCGCGCCTCCGTGTATGTGCTGCGGGAGCGAGTCCGCTCTGCATGCCTTAAGCCCCGGACCCGTGACTTAGCTCCTGTGCAGAGAGCAGACACCGGAGCAGCACAAGCTGCCGTTCAGCTCGGGATCTTGAGCGGGCTCTTATCCTGGATCCCCTGGTAGCTGCAGGCCCCACCCCACGCGTCCTGGGAGCCCCAAGGGAGTTCGGGCGCCACCAGCAGAGCTCCTGGCCAGGGGGGCAGGGGCGGACAATGGCGGGGAGAGGGGTGTGGGGGGAGACCCAGTGCTGCCATGACACGGCTCTCCTGCTGCCCAGAACCGTCGTTTCAGGCCCAGCTGTGGTCATTTGTCATGGCAGCCACAGGACGCAAGTACATTCTTGGCTAGTAGAAATTGTCCAAAAGGTTGTCTGCCTTGGTCTCTAAACCTCCTTCCCACCCACCTTTTTACGTCACACATTCTCTTCTGTGCAGTATAACAAAAAGATTAGAACAACGTGCAGCTAAATAGTCGCTACTTAGATTCAGCCACCAGTAGCGGCTGGCTGTGTGCGCTTTGTCTCTGTACTTCGCGTAACTTCTACGCATAAAGACTCCTGCTGTGGATTTAAGGCCTAGTGGATTTTAAAATGTTTTGAGGGCCACCCTGGTGGCACAGTGGGTTAAAGTGCAGCACTGTGAAGCTGTGCGCAGCCACTGCACAATGATGAATAATCCCCAGCCAGGGAGGGACCCCAGGGCA